CTTGAGAAAGAAGGAATAGTATTTCAATAGTTTCAATAGTACCTCAATTATTGCCCCATCAGAGGCCTGTCTCTGGGCAGGTTTTATTATGCAGTACTCCTTTTGAACATATTGCCCTATGTGAAGAAGTGAGTATGCAAAAATTCTGAACTTTGAAAGTTCTTAAAGATTGCAGTAGACTCTCTTGTTAGGGTAACTTAAGTGTGCTTTGGCTTCTTACCAGTTAGTAAGATCATGGAGGAAATCTCCTTTCAAATTTATATAGACATTGATACAAATTGGGGTTTGATGGCTAGTTGCGGTGACTGTCTTGTATAGTCAGTTCTGTGGTACAGAGATGTAATTGTTGTGACAGGTACAACACATTTCATCTTAGTTCAGGTGACATTAATAGTCTGTAAGATGTCTCTGTTCTTAGTATCTGTAGAGCTGCTGCTAGAACACCTTCGTGTTTTCTTGTTGTCTGTGTATGCTTTTGATCTTGATCTTTGATCTTGAGTGACTTGAGGATTCTTGGGCATCTTGGTCCCCGAGTCTTTTGTTAGCAGGAAAGTGGTGTTGGTATGGAACATTGCTTGATGTCACCCACAGTGCAAATTTATATATAGACATGAAAATCATGTTTCTTATCTGTACCTATTGTTCTTTGACCTGTGTTCTCTGTTTGTTCAAGACTCACTTTTCTGTGATTGTTCATTGGAGTGTCTGAAGGAGTCTTCAAGTTGTTCCTCAGTCTCTGAAATCCTAAGAGTGGAAAGGGCTGGGTTTTTAGGGATGCCTACAGAGCATACAGATGTTAAAGTCCTGTAAATACACCCCTTTGGATATTATTGAGGAAGAAAAATTAACTTGCTTTCACTATTTAAATGGATGTATTTGCAATGAACATGAAAAAAGCCACATGTAGGTAACAGAAGAGTAACAGTTAAGCAGAAAACAAATAGCAGATCTTTTAATGATTAAACTGATCCTCAAGACTAAAGACATTTGCAAGATTTCCATTTATGTGGAAACAGTTCTTTTTATGTAAATGAATTTTGGAAGAGATATGAAGGTGCATACTTCAGCAAGTAAGATAAATCTATATACAGTAATGACCAAGGGTGTTCTGAATTTATGTCACCCTGACTCATATAAGTCTAAAATTAATTTACTTTCCTCTGAAAATGTGTGATACTTGCATCTGTCAAAAAGAAATAACTGATCTAGGTGGCCCATGAGTCTAGTATCCATTGCATTAATTCCTAAGTTTACATTATTAAATCATACCATGAAATGTGTTTGGGAAAGCTTACAACCAAGTATGTACTTAAAAATCAGTTTGTTTGAAGACTGTAAGCATTAACTCTTCATCATGTGATTGTGGTACTTTAATCAGCAGACTTTAATTAATTTGAGTGTCTTAGGTACACATCTCTGTATCTTTCTGTGTTTGGATTTCTTTGAAACGTAGTTTCAACTTTACATGTGCTGATGTCATAATTTTTAAGATTAACATGTCAGCATCCTGAAGATAAATAAGATAGGCTTAAAAGTACATATCAGTATCAAGCTTAATACTAGTGTTGTCACTTAATGAAACCTACATAGCATAGAACCTACATGGCAGTTTTAACAAAAATTGCTATCTTTCATTGGTCATGGTTGGTTGTTGTAGTTGTTCATAGCCTTTACTCATTTCTAAAGTGTCACTCAGTATTTGGTTGTTCTTTACTGAAAACTTGACTGTGAAGATGCTAGGTTATTTTATAAATTGTGAATGTAGAAATAGAGAGGCATTGGAGGGCACAAGTACTTTATTTATTTTGGGTGGGGGACTTTAAATGGTTGGGCAGCCCAACAGCTTTAACATTCAAAAATTTTTCAGCTTTGCAGTCCCAAATAAGGAATGCCTACTTTGTCTGGTTTGAATAATCAGTTGTATATGAAATGTGAAATACTACTTTTAAAATCTAGAAAAATAAGTTAAATTATGATGGTTGCCTGCAGAATCTAGGTAAGTTTTGTAGAGGAAGATATAATTTTATTAGACAGGCTTTTGAGCATATAATGCTTTCTTCTGCAGCAAACATCAGGATAAGTGCAGTCAGAAAACAACTGTGTTATACTCCTGTTTTACTGAGATAATTTGAAGGGGAAAGGCTATCTCTAGTGCATGAAGAGATGCTTGGAAGGAGAGAGATGGTACAGCTGTGAAGCAAGTAAGGAGCACTTGCAGAACTCTCTGTCTTTCGGGAGGAAAGATGTTGGAATATGCCATAATAACTAGCTCATGATAATATTTGGTAGAGTTAAAGCTTTTAGTTCTTAAGCTCTGCATGTGAAGGACCCTTGAGGGTCAGGAATGAGAGTTAGTGAATTTTATTTTTTTTTTTGTGAAAAATATTCTGCATTTGGTTACTGAATGTTTCTGTCCATTTTCCCTTCTCTGTATGTGTTAATCCTAGTACATAATAGTTCTTTGGTTTTACCCACAATTTCCTGAAGCATTCTGCCATGCCAAGCGCATATCTAAAATTCATTGATTTTTGGTAGTGAAAAGGTAATTTTTAATTGGAAGTTGTTAATCATTCATTCTCAAGATCATATGAAAAACTGGCAACTTTACTTGCAGGGGATGTTTAATAAAGTCTGTCTTGTCTGATTTAAAGATCAGGTTTGTGTCTCCTGTCTTTGGATGATATTTATACATATGTGTGGCTATAAGAGATGCTTAATTCCATTTGTTAAAGTGGAGTTTTAAAGCTAGCTAGTTCCTGCTACGTCAAGTTCCATTCTTGAGATATATCCATACAGTCTATACATGTAAGTCAGTCACATGAAAATTATTAATGTATAATTACGGATAAAAAATGACTTGAAGTTCCTATTTGAGAGAGTTGCAAATGAGGATGATGACAAAAGCACTTAATATTGCATCAGTGATACAAGCATCAATCTGAAATCAGCAGAAATGCTCATTGAGAAAGATAAAGCATAGATCTTAGAAAAATATCTCCTAGTATCTCTGCAAGACTGAACATATCTAGATTTCACTGTCATTGCTCACTAGTACTGTAGTAGTACATTGTTAAACCACAAGATGAGTTTGCCTTTCAGATGCGTTGGGGGGGCATTGCTTTGTTTGCTTATGGGTTTTGCTTCTCATTTTTTTTTGTGTGTGTTTTGTCTTCTTTAAAGGTCGTTTGTATGCAATGCAAACAGGGATGAAGATTGATAGTAAAACCCCAGAATGCCGTAAATTTTTATCCAAACTTATGGATCAGTTGGAAGCTGTAAGTAGAATTTATTGCTCTTCTCTAAAATGATTCATGATGTTGCTTTAATTTTTATTTAAGCTTCTCCAAATACTACCTTGCATCTGTCATCAGTCATTGATGCAACTATTCTGTATGCAGGCATACTATATGAATTTAAGTTGTATGTAATAAATTGGCAGAAGGATTGAAAGGAGATAAAGCTATATGTGTATATATGTTTTTAGGTATGTATGCATGCACAAACATAACTGAAATTTCATACAGCAGATGTTTGCTGGAAGGTTTTGTCTATATAACATGCATTATAATACTTTATTCATACATATTCTCATCAGAAATCATGATTCATTACAAAATAAATGCATAAGTTCTAGAAGACTTTTTTTATTGATTTGTCTTTGATTCCTTAAAGTCTGTGAGAGTTCTTTTACTGCTATAGGACTGGCTAGCCTTAGTCCTTGGTGCTTTTGAAAGTTTTGACCACACTCCAGCACCTCAATGTCCTTCTTTAACTGAGAGGCCCAGAACTGAACACAGTATTTGAGATGTGGCCTCACCAATGCCAAGTACAGGGGAAGGATGATTTCCCTGGTCCTACTGGTCACACTGTTCCTAATACAAGCCAGGATGCTGGTGGCCCTCTTGGCCACCTGTGCATGCTAGCTTGGCTCATGTTTAGCTGGCTGTCAACCAGCACCCCCAGTTCCTTTTCCACTGGGCAGCTTTCCGGTCACTTTTCCTCAAGCCTGTAGCATTGCATGGAGTTGTTGTAACTGAAGTGCAGGATCTGGCACTTGGCCTTGTTAAACCTCATACAGTTGGCCTCGGCTCATCAATCCAGCCTGTCCAGATCCCTCTGCAGAGCCTCCCTACCCTCAGGCAGACCAACACTCCCACCCAACTTGGTGTCATCTGCAAACTTACTGAGGGTGCAGTTGATCCCCTCATCCAGGCCATTGATAAAGATACTAAACAGAATTGGCCCCAATACTGAGCCCTGGGGAACACCATTTGTGACAGGCCGCCAACTGGATTTAACTCCCTGCACCACAACTCTCTGGGCTCGGCCATCTAGCCAGCTTTTTAACCAGCAAAGAGTACGCCTGTCTAAGCCACGAGGCACCAGCTTTTCTAGGAGAATGCTGTGGTTGACAGTGTCAAAGGCTTTACTAAAGTCCAGGTAGACAACATCCACAGCATTCTCAACAACCCACTAGGTGGGTCACCTTGTCATAGAAGGCACTTAGGTTGGTCGAGCAGGACCTGCCTTTCATAAGCCCATGCTGGCTGGGCCTGATCCCCCGATTGTCCTCCATGTGCC